ATTTAAAAAATTGCCTGTAAATGAATGAGTGATAAACTGATTTAGCAGAAGCTTTTAAGAAGCGATATAATCCAAACCACAGACTCCAAAAGGCTGTAGTGGTACCAAGTACTTCATGAAGTTCAGGGACAATATATAGAGCTAAATATAGGAGGGTAGGTTGACAGTCTGTAGAAAGAAAGAGAAGTAACACTCCCAGTTCACTTTTCCCACTCTGTAGCCAATAACTACATTCCCACATGCCCTAGGGGGAAAATGAAGGTTTACTTGCTGAAAAAGATTGAACCCAAAAAGCTCTGAACCTAAATTGCTTGATACACTGGGAACAAGAAGGAAGGTGCCTCACCAAAAGGCAATGAAGTGAAAGTATAACATCCTAACACAGAGTTCCCCAACTGCCTTTTCCATCTTTACTTCCCAAATTAGATCCAGATTATGCCTCAAGACAGAAGATTGGAGGATTCTTTCTGGAAAAAAAAAACCAAGGCAGCAATGAGAGATACTGGGGCTGATATGTTCCCGGCGGAAAGGCTGGATTTCCATCCACTCATTCTACAGTGAACCCTTCCCCCACAGCCAGTCATCAAGCACTGCCAATGCACAGACTTCCTTCACAGCTTTTTAGAGTCTCACAGTCTCACTTGTAAAGAAACCTAACAGCCAAAGATTACTAGAGATTAAAGGAAAGCCTCTAATATTTAAAAAAAAAAAAAAAAAAAAAAAAAAAGTCTAAAATAAAATGAAAAAAAAAAAATCCAGAGGGTAAAATGAAGAAGGAGGAGGAGACAAATAATAATAATAGAAGAAAATGATCAGGACTAGGCAATAAGAGTATTCGCATTGAAAGGACATACTAAGTGCCCAGCCCAGGGAATGAAAACAGACTGAAAATGATAAATGAAAGACCCAAATGAAGGCTTATCACTATGCAATTTCAGAATACTAAGGTTAAAGAAGATAGTCCTGAAAGCTTCCAGAGAGAAGAATCAGCTTACATTTAAAAGATCAGGAACCAGCCGGGCACGGTGGCTCACGCCTGTAATCCCAGCACTTTGGGAGGCCGAGGCAGGTGGATCACGAGGTCAAGAGATCGAGACCATCCTGGTCAACATGGTGAAACCCCGTCTCTACTAAAAATACAAAAAATTAGCTGGGCATGGTGGCGCATGCCTGTAATCCCAGCTACTCAGGAGGCTGAGGCAGGAGAATTGCCTGAACCCAGGAGGCGGAGGTTGCGGTGAGCCGAGATCGCGCCATTGCACTCCAGCCTGGGTAACAAGAGCGAAACTCCGTCTCAAAAAAGAAAAAATCAGGAACCAGAATGTTATCAAGTTTCTCAGTTGCCACGTGCCAAGCTAAATGACACTAAAGAAATACTTTGGAAATACCTAAGAAAAATTATTTCCAGCTTTGAATTCTATACCTAGGCAAACTATCATTCAAGTGTAAGAGTGGAATAATTATATTTTCAAATATTCAAGGTGTCATAAAGTTATCTTCCATGCTATCCTTTCTCAGAAAGATATTATAGGATACACTCCACCAAGATGGGGCAGTAGATCAGGAAAGAAGACAATTTGGGAACCAACAGCTTCAGCACAGGAGAAAAGTAAATAAAATTTCCAGCATGATGGAGAAAGAAACTTGTAAGAAGATAATGCAGCAGGCCTAGCTAGCAGCCAGTTCAGGTTGAAGCAGAGAAAGGAAGCTTCAGGAAATATATTTCTAAGAGCAAAATGGACTTGATCAATTACATGATGTGTTTAGTTAGATTGAGAAGAGTTTTAAAGTATTTTATTTTATTTTATTTTATTTTATTTTAAGACAGGGTCTCACTCTTACTACCCTGGCTGGAGTGCAGTGGCACAATCTCAGCTCACTGCAGCCTCAACCTCCCAGGCTCAAGCGATCCTCCCACCTCAGCCTCCTGAGTAGCTGGTACCACAGGCATATACCACCATGCTTGGCTAATTTTTTGTACTTTTGGTAGAGACAGTGTTTCATCATGTTGCCCAGACTGCTCTCAAACTCCACCTGCCTCGACTTCCCAAAGCGCTGGGATTACAGGCATGAGCCACTGTGCCCAGCCAGTTTTAAGGCTTTTGTCAGAATTTGGGGAGTATGTAGTGACAGATATATAGAAAAGCTCCACTGGTGGAAAAGATGGCAGTTATCACTTCCAGTAAAACAAACAAAAAGGTCCAATAAAGGAACAGTACATCATATGGCTCAGCAGAGAACACTATTTATGTAGATATAATGAGGTAAACACTAAATATTAATGTAATTTAAAATGTGATATGGACTGTATTGATAAGATGGGGGAGGGAACTACGGGTGGGAGGGTAGAGTCAAGAGCCACCGCACCCGGCCAGGTTTTCATATTCTTTAATGAAAAGCCAGTAGACAATGTATGGAAAAGAGATTAAAATGTGTGTGTGAGAGCAAAGTGGTGTAAGAGTGCCAAATTCTCATCCTTCGTGGTGGGAGCATAGTAGATGATGTCTGTAACTGGAGGGGAAGGGAGAACAAGAAATCTTAATATATGCATGGTATTTAGAAATATTGAAGGTAAAGAAGAAACAGCTAAAAAGTATTCTCAGACTTTGGGGTAGATAGTAGAGCAGAGAGCTGCTGTTTTTTTTTTTTTTTTTCCTTTCATTATAAATCCTTTATAGTGGTTTAGACTTGTTAAACAGTACTTATACTTTATTAATGATAATATATGTGTTATGTATGCATTTATTTTCGAGTTATCTATGTGGAAAATTAAAAGGGTAATATGGTAGAACTTGGAACTGTTATGAAGAGGTTCTAGCCTTGGCTTTGTCGCTTATTGTCTCTGTGACTTTGGGCAGGACACTCTTGTTTTCCCGAACCTTAGTTTCTTCATTTATAAGAGGAGGAAGGTTGGAAAGATGATCTCCAGGGTCTCTTTAAGCTATAAAAACCAAAGATTCTGTAATTTAAAAAATAATAGTGCTATGCAGCAAATGGAAAGTTAAGACCCAGGTGGAGGCTTAATTCCCACATTTTTCTTTCTTTGTTAAAATCCGACTTGGAGAGAAATTTTCACTGTGGTCTCTGAGTTCAACACCCATCTTCCATTGTGGAACCTGGGGCAGACAATTGTCTGTGTATGCAGTCAGAGATGCATATCTTAGTGTTATTTCAGTATGTATTTTTTTCTTGATGTTTAATATTTTTCAGTATGAATCACAGGTAAAATTTCCATGCCATGTGTAAACAATTTCACTTCTTATTGAAACAATGAATTCAGGAATGTCGTGTTGGGATATCAGCCATTTTGCTTTTATCAATGTTTGGGAAAATGCATTTATATTAATATAAGAAATGATGTCATTTAATATGGGGTAGATCTTATAATTCAAGGTCAGCAAATCTCAGGAGGTGATTTAAGTCAACCAAGCTAAGTTTGAAAAACGAAAAGAATATTTTCCTTCTGCTTTCTCAGGTATTGTTACCAATTTTCTTCTCAGACTTTGGGGTAGATGGTAGAGTAGCATGGTTTGTGAAAAGGAGGCCCTGGCTGATCAGATCTTTGCCATTGAACCATGTGGACCCAGATCATTTACTTCCCCTTTCTGGGCTTCAGTTTTCTCATCTGTAAAAGAAAAGGATTGGCTGAAATAATATTCAAGATACCGTTTAGTTTTAACATTGTATGCTTCTACCTCCTTACTTTATGTGTGTATCCGTTGAAACCATTCAGGAGACCCTGTTAGGTTTGGAGGTTTCTCTTAAAAAGCCCAGAATCAGTGAGTGTTAACTCTTTCTCTCAGTGTCACCCAAGCAGAGAAAAATCAGTGGAATACTGAAACAAAAATACTAAAAACAAAAGAAAATTGTTTTTAGTAGGTCTTTGTTTATGCCCCCTGTTGTCTAACTCTGAAGGCCTGCTTTCCATTCACATGATTTGTGGTTTTATTTTTTAAGAGAGGGATATTTTTAAGTTTGACTTATCCACTCTTAAATTTAAGTGCTGAAAGAGTTAAACCTTAAGACTGACACCCCTTCACATTTGTACACCAGCATACATTTTATAAAGTCTGTAAACTCTCTTGATGTGTAATATGTCATTTGAAAAACATTTTTGCAGAGCTGTGTTGTATACTTACTGTGTGTTTGATGTGTGGATGAGCATGTGTGTGAATATGCACATCCACAATCTCCATTATGGTCAGTTAGGGAAGCAAATGGTGATACTCAGAGACACAGTGAAAGGAAGTGAAGGGCAGACAGATAAAAACCATGAGCAAGTTATCCAAAGTACTCAGAAAGACACTTCATTTTAGAAAATTGACCTCTAGCAGAAATATGTCAAAGGACAGATCTAGCCCACAAGCTGGAAGGTTTCCTATACCACCTCTGCAGCTATGTGCTGTGGTCTGGACAAAGAGGAACATTAGAGACTCAAGAGAAATACAGAACACAGCCTCTGTCAAAAGTGACTCGCAGTTTATTTGTTTAATGAGCATTGACGAAGTACTAGCACTATGCCAGACACTGTTGGAGTCAGAGATGAATGCAGGATGGTCCTTACCCTTGTTTATACAAAGGAAAGGGCTGGTGAAAGAAGGGAGGCTGGCAGTATCTAAAAAAAAAACACTGGTTTTCTGGTATATGTCCTTGGAGTTGGTGTTAGTTAGCAAACCCTACCACAGGTCTGGGAGTAGAAAAAAAGGCTAGATACAGCAGTCTTTGAAATATCCTGATTCCACAGTTGGTCACTGTTAGTCTTCTCTAAGTTTAGGGGGCAAGAGAACAGTAAGTAGATGATGAGGCCACAATAAATACCATCGTAATTTAAGTGAGTGTGCATATTCATACACATGCCATACGTCTAATACCCAGTAAGTGGATAGCACTGTGAGGCCGATAATAGTATCATACATTTACATTTCCTCTTGTTTAGTGGTTCATTTTTCCGAAGCTTACAACCTGCAAAAGATCTTTAATTCTGTTTTTCACCTTCACAGCTAAGATATCAGCATGGACTAGGGACTCCAGACTTGCGGCAAACCCTTCCCAACCTGAAAAACTTCATGGAACATGGACTCATGGTCAGGTGGTGAGTACCTCTCTCTCTGATAACCAGGAACTGTCATGTGGATAATGATCCTGAAAATCTTTTCTGACTTCCACATTGCTCCACACCTGCCTCAGAGTTTTCTTCTGGAATGAGATATCTGAGGAAAACGAAAGGCGCCGTCACACTTGGGTAGAACTAAGCTCCCATCTGGCTAAGGAGGATGAAGTCCCCTTGAAATGAGGAGGGGTCGAGGGAATGTTACTTGAACTTTGGGAAGTTGGCTGAGCAAGGAGCCCTTGAGGGCACTGCTGGAGAGATAAACTGAGGACAGCCTGTATGATTCACGGTAAGGGAGACCCAGAGCCCCTCGGAGCTTTCCAAAGAACAAGCGAAGGGCCTGTTTATAGAATGAGCATCAGGATCCGTGGCTGTGAGCATGAAGGGAAGAAAGCAAATAAGGAATAGATTGGGGGGTCAGGACTTAGTTTGAGACCAGGAGGTACATTCTGAAGTGTTCCTTGTATTTGGTGTCAGTACCTGTTTAACCGTGAGGGCAAGCTGCTGCTGAGGGTGCTCCGTCAGGATAGACATGGACCTTTTAAAAAGAGAAGGGGAGAGGGAAGTCCGATACAAAGAAGACGTTAGATTCATTCACTTGACTTAAATGGAAAGCTGTTGGCTGTATCCATTTAGTAATTCTTGAAGTTTGAATCCTTGGGTAGTGGGCCATAACTTACAAAATCACATGCCTTTAGAGTTAGGCAGCTGGGGGCAGCACTAGCTTCTGATTCCAGGTATTTTTCTCATCATCTGTTGTGTAGATCTGAAATTCTACCTCTCTGAAATTTGATTTCCTCTGCTGTGGCTTCAGAAAAGTAAAAAATCTGTGGTTGGTCTTCACTTTGATGTTTTGTATTTTTGTCCCATATGATTTTCAAAATGGCAAGTTCCAGATGTCTGGTCTTAGATAGGACTCCTGTTAAGCAAATACACAACTGTTTAAAGAATTCCATTCAAAGCATCAAAATAATTATTAAAGCTTGGTGTGGATATGGACCCGGCTGCCTTCAGGAATATGAGAGAGGAATTAAGTTTTAATATAAAGTCATAAGAATAATAGAAGTGAGCTGGCAGGCATTTATTTAGTCTCTGTGTAAAGCTCTGTGATAGGCGCTCTGGAGAGAAACAAGAAGGCTCAAGCTCTGTCCCCAAGAGATTTATGGTCCAGTTGGAAACAAGGCATAGAATTCATGGAGAGGTTCTCTAACACAATGGCAAATAACCTAAAATGATGAGAAAAGTGGCAACCCACAACGCTAATTAATCACACTGAATGAATCTTGCTCAGTACAGATAGCAGACTGTCGCTGTACCATTTATTGAAGTGTCTGTCTTTTCTCCACTGATGATAATGGCATCTCTTTTGTAAACCAAGTTTGCTTATCCACATAGATCCATTTCCAGACTCCCTGTTCTGTTCTGTTCCTTTATTTGACTATCCATCACTTAGTATCATTTTTAATTATTGTAAGATGTAATTTCTAAAAGTCTTTTTGAGATTTGAGGATGAACTAAAAATCAAAATGTTCATTTTACTACTGATAACGCAGCTTGGAAAATGGGGCTTTAGACCTGTAATAAAACGGGCTTGCAAAACTTATCCTCATAATCACAATGTGAACTAGAGAGCGACAGGTTTTCCCTACAGAGGCAGGCCCTTTACCACATTGTCAGAGAGTGATCAAGTGACTTCTCTGCAGGAGCCCAGATAGGGCTGAGCCAAGAATACACAGATGCTATTTTGCCCTCCAAATTCACCAATGAGAAAGGTTTGTCCTCCTCTGAGAGAGTGAGAGGATGGAAAGAGCCAAGGGTGTTAACTCCTAAGCCATGTTCCTTCATAGGAAGGGAAAAGGAAAATGCCTCCAACTTTCTTGAAAATCTGGTAGAGAAAAGCTCCTGTGTAAGGTTGCTCTTCAAAACTCTTGGCTTTTCTTGGCTTTTCTTGACTTGTGAGTCTTCGAGTGATGTCACAGCTTTATGACATTGGGTCTTCCTAACTATGAACATATTATATCGCTTGCTTTTTTAAAACATACCTCTGTGAAGTTTATGATTTTCTACATAAAGGTCTATGCATCACCTATATTTAGTCTTATTAGCTTACAGTTTTGGTTACTGTTATAAATTTTTTTATTATAATAGTTAATTTTTTGTGGCGGGTATACAGGAATACCACTGATTTTTAGTATTTTGAGAATGTGTTCCGGCAGCCTTTCTAACATTAATTACAATAGTTTGTTTTGATTCCCTTGGATTTTTTTTGTGTATATAATCATATTTTTAGTGAATAATGGTATTGTTTCTATTTTTATATTTTTATAATTTTGTTACTTTTTCTTGTCTTTGTTTTATTACAGAATAGGAGCAGTGACAGTGGATATCCTTGTCTTGTTTCTGACTTCAAAGAGAATGCTTCTAATTTTTCACCATTAAGTATTGTACTTATTATAGGTTTGGGTAGTTATCCTGCATTGGCAAAAGGAAGAATTTTTCTATTCTCAGTTTACTAAGAGTTGTTTTATAATCATGAATGTGTATATTTTGAATTTCATCAAATGTTTGTTTTGAATCTATTGAGATAACACTACATTTTTCTAATGTTAAACTATCTTTGCCTCCTGGTCATGATGTGTTATTTTTTCCTACATTATTGGATTCCTTGGCTAATTTTTTAGAATGTCCCCATCTGCAAACTGAAATGAGACTGGCTTACGGTTTTTCTTTCACATAAAATCCCTGTCTGATTTTGGTTAGAACGTAACTAAACATGATGAGGTCATAACAGCCTCGTCAAGTAAATTGTGGATCTTTATCTTCTTTTCTATTCTCCAGAACGGTTTATATAAAATCGAGGAAGTATCTCTGTCTTAAAGGAACCTAGGTAAAAAAATAGTGTTTTTTGTTTGTTGCTGGGGAGAGTGGAACCTAGATAAAAACTGGTGTTTTTTGTTTATTGCTGGAAAGAGTATAGATTTTTAACAACTGATTTAATTTCTATAATGCTTTCAGGTCTATTGCTGTTCTATGTTTCCAATTCCTCATTAACTCACTCCAGTCTGATTTTTAGTTCTATGAGTATACTGAAATTCCTTTTATCCAGCTTGGTGTCTACTGAATTCCAAACATAGACCCAAACCCAAAGGTCACTTTTTGTCCTTGTCCTGTTGAGCATCTCAGTGGCACCTGGCCTTGCTGGCCCTTCCTGCCTTTCTGAAACACTCTTCCTCGTTGGCTTCCACAGGACTGCCCTTTCCTGGCTTTCCTGCTTCTGGCCTCTCCATTGTCCCAGCTTAGGCCCTCTTCCCTTTTTCTCTCTCTACTCTCTTCTCTTTTTTTCTCTCCTCCTCCACCTCCTCTCTACTCTCTTTTTCTGTGTTCTCACCCATTCCCATCATTTTGAAAACCATCTATATGCTTATGACTCCCAAAGTTTTGTTTGCAGTGTAACCTCTCCTGCACACTCTGGATAGCCAGGCTCTTACTTGACTCTGTCCCTGGGAGTATGACAAGCATCTCAGCCTCAACATAGTCTAAAACACTCTTTCCAACAGCATAATTCCTCTCAGCTAATGGGACCCTGTCTACCCAGTTGCTCAAACCAATGAATCATCCTTGATCCCCTTCTTTTCTTCCCTCCTATCAGAGCTAATCTTACTCATCAGCAAGCCCTGTCATCACTACCTGCAAAATACGTATCAATGTGTTCACCTCCCATCTCTGCTGTTGCCACTCCGGTCCAAGCCACCACCTTTCTTACCCAAACAGCTGCACCAGTGCAATTTGTCTCCCTGATTTCACTCTTGTCCTGCCTCTATCTTAACCACTCTCCAGCTTCAGTGGCGAGAGTAAAATCCAAGGTTTTTTCCAGTCTACTTAGCCTCTGCCTCATCTGATACCACGCCCTCTCCACTCTCACGTCCTGTTACTGTACTGGCCTCTGTGTGCTTATGCAAACAAGCTCTTTCCTGTCTGCCTGGTCGCGCTCACTGTTCCTCTGTGTAGAATGTGCTCTGTCTCTTCCTTCCTTCCTACCACCATCCTCACCTCATTGCCTCAAAGAGAGGGAACAGTTTAAGAAAAGCTGCTTTGTGAACACAGCAGCTTTATTGGGAATGAATAGACACCTTGGCTGAAATGCAAATTCATTTTAAGAATGAGGAGAATCTGGGCTTTGTGGTTCTTTGGCAATCCTTTTTAAGAAAAAGAATACAAAATTACAAGCAAAATTAGAAATGAAAAGACATTTGGAATGAGAAACAAATCACAACAAATTACTGGAACCTTAGAGATTAGGACCCTTTCTTCTGAGATCTCTGTAGACAATTTACTCAAATTATTTCATAGAAATACTTCTTCGTTGCAACCTGACTGCCCTTCTCCTCCTAAAACACTGTCATTTCCAGCAACTCTCAGTTCGAAGGTATAGAGAAGTTAATTGACTTTCCAGGCATAGTTGACCCATGAACCTGTAGCAATAAAACTAGAATTTAGGTCTCCTGGCACTGATGTAGCAAACCTATTAAGCTCCAAGCTCATACATTTATAAATGTTGTGCCCCTCTCTGCCAGCTGTGCCAAGCACATTAACACTGAGTGAACAGGAATGTGCCACTTTATGGTACTGTAATGAAAAATAGACTACTAAAGTAGATGCAAAGCACTGCAAAACGAATGCTACATATCGGTTCCAAGTAAAGATCATGGCAGGAAGCCAGGCTGGAAGTCACAAAGCTAAACAAAGCCGGAACAAGCACTTTGAGTCTCAGAGGAAATCTGAGAATTTCCGAGAGCAACCGTGGACTGAGGACTTACATCTCAAGCCTGCACTCCTTAGGGCAAAGGGTAAAAAAACTCAGGTTCCTAAGGGAGTCTCTTACATCTTTTGTAAAGCAAAACACTTCCATTTTCTGTGTGGTTGTTACCATTCACAGATGGGTCCCTGTGGAAGCAAATTGCTGCATGTTCTTTTGGTGTTGAGGATTTCATACTGGCTGAGGATCAGTGCATTCACTGAATTCCTCCTTATGGTAAGCTTCAAAGTTATGTGACAGCTTGTTTTGTTTTATTTTGTAAAGAAAAAGCTGTGATAAAAATCCTTTTAATGAAGTAATTCTTTTTCTTCCACATTATGAGAAGTTCTTAGCTAATATCAGAATGATTGGCCTGATTAATTCTGAAAGGAACCCCCATTTTTTTATGAACACAGTTGCATGGGCCACGGCTCTCAGTGATTTATGCCAGGTCTTTCCAAAAAGAGTGCCCATTTTTTCATCCTAAGATTATAATCTAGTCATAACTGCCAAGCAACACAATTTTGAAAAGCAGAATTTCAGCGTAGAATCTGTGCTCTTGAATACTTTGATTAAAAGTCACCAGAATGTCATTTAAACATCCCATTTTTCTTTTATTATTGCTGCAAAGTGATCCGAGACTCAGATTGACGTGCACATGCACCGCCAATATGGGTGCTGCATTATGGTCAGGGAAAAATGTGCACGCAAGCTGCTGCCTGATGGCTGCCTGTAAGGCGATAAGTTTAGAACTGAAAGAGATTATGTGCTGAGGTTGCTGTGAATGGGCTGTGTGATGGGGCCCCAGCATCCGGGTCCTGAGACAGTGCCTCGATTTTGTCTCTCCACCACTCTCCCACCCTTTCTCAACTGACCCCCAGGCTTAGCACTCGCATTTGTGACCTCCGTTCTTTACTTAGGCAAGTTCCTACTACCCAGAATAACCTGACCCTTCCTCTGCCCTATCCTAATGTCGCTCTCACTTCAAGATTCAGCTCATATCCTACCTCATTCATTCACTCACCCAACACCACAGTGGCAGATACAGAGATAAGTATGTATTCCCTCAGTAGCTTAGATCCACTTCTCTGGCGAGCTTACCCACTAGGCTTTTGAGCAGCTTGGGTCTGGGGACCATGTCTTAGTCACCTCTGTGGTCCCAGCCTGGCATTACGGAAGCACTAGAGAAGGCAATGAAGAGACCATCTGAGCAGTTCTACTCATGGAATATGCTCCTTGAGCTTGTGTTCACAGAGCTGACAGTCTAATCAAGGCAGTGAAACAGGAACAAACAACATGTACTGAAAAGTAAAAAGTATAACATGCTATAAGAAAAATAGATGAGTTATTTTGAACATTCATAGGAAGCCCTTTAGTTCCTGGTGTGAAGGGTGTAGACAAGCCTTCACTAAGGAGATGACATTTCAGTGGAGAGTGGACCTGGAGCAAAAGAAAATTTGGCCAGCTGAGGATTGGGGTATAGGACAGAGTAGGTTAAGAAACAGTGGCCCAATGAGGTGGAAAGACGAGGACTATGGATTTGAATACCAGCACCACCATTTACTGTCTCTGTGACCTCAAACACGTTTAAGCTGTCTGCCTCAATCCCTTTACCTAAATAAAATGAGGATAATGTGCCTACCTAATAGTGTGGTCATAAGAATTAAATATGTAAGTACCTAGCATACTGCCTGGCACTTAGTAATATTTAATAAGCAGTAGCTTTTATAATAAATCAATGAATCATAGTTACTATCTATATATTTTTAAAATCAAATTCATCCTTTGCTATAGGTGTTTTTACTTTGACATCTATGGTCATCTTACAGATAGGTATAGAATATGGTTCTTGTTCATATTTTGGCTCCTGCTCTCTAGTATGTTAATGGTGCAGAATATTTACCATCTGTCTACGTCTCTCTCACTTTCCCCATGTCCTTTATAAGACCACTCTGAGGCCTTAGAGATAAGTACCCTACAAATCTGTTTGTCTACAAACTTTTTTTTGCTACCTGCCTTCTTAGGTAACTCACCCATAGTTAGAAGTTACGAATAATAAAACCTCTTACTTGCAAAACTTTCTGTTTTTGCTTAAGCTTGCAAGAACCCTGTGAGGGTAGCTGGGCAAGAATAATGACCACTATTTTACAAACCGAAAAACTGAGACTCATAGTGCCAAGCAACTTGTCAAGATCACATGGTACAAGTGATGGAACTGGGACCAGAAACCCAGAGTATCTGACTCCTAATCCCATATTCTTTTCACCATGTCACAGTGCCTTTTCTCGGGTAACGGCCATTCTGTTCCTTCTCCGCCCATCCCCTGCTCTCCTGTCCCTGTGCCACCTCTGTAGGTAGTGCCTCCTACCTTCCTTGGGGAAACCCACCAGAGTCAAATCCAGAGCACTGGAAAGATACACTGCAAAATTAGGCAGCAGGCCTGGTGGAAACATTCTTCGTTGTTTATTCTACCCCATTTACCTCAGAGAGGGAGGAAACTAAAAGTCATAAAACTTTGGGAAGAATTTAAGAACTTTGAAAGAAACACAAACGATCATGTTTCTGTTTCATCTTCATTGGTTAAGAAACAGGAACACGGAAGAAGGAAGTGTATGGGTTGGGTGGTGGCCTAAAGTGCATTTGCCCGTAGTGTTTGTGGAACACTTCCTGGAATGACACGTTCTTTTCTCTGAATAAGAAAAAAGAAGAAGAAAAAGAAGATAAAAGCAAGATTTCAAAGCCATCTTTCTGGTTTTTTTCATAGAATTTTTTATCCTAAGTTTAATTTTTCCTGATTATAAAGCTTACACTCTGTAATACTTTCATGCGTGACAGTGTAATACAGAGGAACGAACGCTAGATTTGGGAATCAGAAAATATAGGTTCCGGTTTCACCTCTGTCACTTAATTTCATAAGTTGTTTCTGAGTATCAGTTTTTTAAAATGGAGTTAATAGCACCAGTTATTGGGAAATATTTTCCAAGTATAGCCTTTGTAGGCCAAATGAGATAATGTCTGTCAAAGTGGTTTATAAACTAAAATGAACTGTGGAAAGTATTATTAAGTATTATTTTTGCATTTGGCAATTCATTAAGTGTCTCTTCTGCATATAGATTATTCAGGAGACAACAGAAGATTCCAAAGTGTAAGATTTTCCCTGCCCTTGCTTAGTTGACAGTTGTTTAGTGTACAATCTAGATTATTAGATAAGACACATTAAATATTTTGAAGGACATGATGTGCAGAAATATTCCTGTACACTGCTCACTCCCGCTGTGGTTTGGGACTTACGAGGTGAGGCCCGACTTGAGTGTGTGGTCTGCTGCAGTGGTGGAGGGCAATGTTGGGCTGACTTACTTTGTTTTAGGACCAGGCAGGCTATGTTTAAAGAGACAGAATCAATCTCAGTGACCTTAATAAGAGGACAGGGCTTGAGACAAAGATACTTGAGAAGTATCCTTGGTCAAAAGCATGCTAGAATATTTCTCCAAAGTACTGTAGTGTTTAACAAACACCAATGTTTAATGTTGGGAGAAGCAACTCGTGGCTTTATGTGAGGCCATCTCACGTTAGTGGTAAAATCTCCAAATAGTGCTTCTGCTGACCGATTTCTTTCTTTCTTTCTTTCTTTCTTTTTTAATATATTTTATTGCACTTTAGGTTCTGGGGTACATGTGCAGAACATGCAGGATTATTGCATAGGTACGCACATGGTAATGTGGTTTGCTGCCTCCATCCCCGTCACCTATATCTGGCATTTCTCCCCATGTTATCCCTCCCCAGCTCCCTACCCCCCGCTGTCCCTCCCCTAGTGCCCCCCAACAGACCCCAATGTATGATGCTCCCCTCCCTGTGTCCATGTGTTCTCGATGTTCAACACCCGCCTGTGAGTGAGAACATGCGGTGTTTGATTTTTTTCTGCTGACCTGTTTCTAATGTAGTCTTCTATTCCTTTTGGTAAGTAGAATCAAGCTATAGCTTTAAATAAAAGTATTAGAAGAAGAAAATACCTAAGAACTTTGACACATTTTAGGAAAATGTTTTTTCAGTAAACTGAGAGTAATGAAAATCTAGAATAAGTGAGCCAGTCTACTTTCCTTAAAATCAAGTAATGATATGGTAGTTCTGCTTTTACACCAAACCAGTGAGGCAGTATCCAGTATTTAAATCTTTACGATGCCTTGCTTTTTAGAAACAGATCTACCCTCCTCCCTTCCTTCCATCATCCTTAGGCTGGATTCAGAACTGAAATCTGGCAGATGATCCTCTAGGGAAGTGAAAAACATGTTTTGTCTAGCTGACGTTGGTTTTTAAATTTAGATCAAATAACATTGTCTTTGAAGTCTCAAGAGTCCTACTTAAGGTAGCTGTATCAGATAGGCTTGCCTTTGAGAGCATTTCTTGCAGGCCGGCACCCCTAATAGGAAAAGTTAAGCCTAGTCAAAAATAAATGAAAAAGAAAGTTTTATTGGAGTTATTTACTCTAAGATAGCTGTTTCAGAAGGAACCTTGACAAGTCATCTCCTTGCCTCTAGACAGGAACACACAAGGCATGTGGGTATCTGTAGTATTTTAAAAGACCTTTGGGGACCAGGCTTCTTCCATAACTCATTCCAGAGTTTAAACACCCTCACTTCAGGAAATTCTTCCCTATATTTAACTTACAGGCCCCTCCTGCGGTTAACGCCCATTTCCACGTTTTTCTGCCTCCAGTCAGGATGGAGAACAGCTGGCCAACATCCTTTGTGCACTAACCCTCTACTGGCGACTGAAAGGCACCTGGGTACCCCCACGCCGCCTCTCCCCTCTTCCAGCAACCAAGTCTCTGAACCAAATTGAGATCTCTGTACTCATTTTTACATGGGTCTTCTTTATTTCTATTTACCCCTTTTGATTATAAAGTAGTATGTGCCCAATGAATAAAATTTGAAAGTTTAAAAAATATACAGAAGGGAAATAGTAGCCCCATAATTCAGGCACAAAAAAATCACTGCTGTGTTAGTCAGTTTTCTTTGTATTTCTTTTCTAATTCAGATCTTAGCATCTGTACCAACACCTTTCAATAGAAGTAAGAGTATGAGCCATACATATGCATTTAAATATTCTGGCGGTCAATTTTTTAAAAGGTAAAAAGAAACAGATAAGCTCATTTTAATAATATATTTTATTTAATTCAAATAAAATCCAAGTTATATATCCAAAATATCTTGTAGACATGCAATCAACATTTTAAAGATTATTAATACAATATTTTGCGTTCTCTTTTTTCATACTAAGCTTTTGGAATCCAATTTACACTTATAGCACATCTCAAGTCAGACTAACCACATTTCAAGTTCAGCGGCCAGTTTCTAGTAGTCATATTGGACAGCACAGTCCTTACAGCCTTTTTGTATAATGTCATGTCTTAACTATTTTATTAATGCCCTTAAAAACTTTTTAGCATCATGTTTAATGGCTATGTAGTATTTCATCATTTAGACTTACTATAACAATATATTGAGGCAGTTCTGTTTTTCTCAACACATTGCCAAAAAACATCACCTAAGTGTTTCCTTTTGCACACTACTAATTAAATTCATTTATACATAAAACAAGTATATCCACTGAATATCTGTGTACTCTGTACTAAGTTATATTGGAAAGTGGAAGAGTGGGTTTCCAGAAATAAAGACTAGATCCCTCCCATATACTGTTTACAAGGCTTGGCTTCACAGTTGGACTGCACACAAATACTGTATTTTATTCTGCCTTAAATGCCCTTCCCTTCATTTCTTGTTCTGCCCTACCCCCAACACATACACACTCTGCCTGGTTAGCTCCCACTTATCCTTCGAGGTGCCAATCAAATATCACCTCCTCTGATAAGTCTTCCCGCTGATTCTTCATTGTAATACACAACGTGTGTATTGTTTTCAGAGCACCATGGTGTTCTGGTTATTGGTTCGCTCTCTGTCGTCTTTATTAGAGTGGGAACTCCTTAATGATAGGAACCTTATCTTATACATCTCTTTATTTCCAGAACCTCGAAAACTGTCAGGCAATGAAATGTGAATTTCAGTAATGTCTGAAATATGTGTTGAAATGCAAGCGATCACATTAAGGATGAGTTGGATGGTAAAATAACAAGTACTACCTTCAGAGTTCTAAGAGATCACTTTAGATTGGCATGGTTAAGGAAGGGATGAATAAAGGAGTTAAAGGAATGAAGGCATTAATGAAAGGGTTAAAGAAATGAAGGAATTAAGAATGAAAGAGTTAAATAAATGAGCTAAAGAATGAATGAGGACCAGGCACAGTGGCTCAGCACTTTGGGAGGCTGAGGCAGGTAGATCACCTGAGGTCAGGAGTGAAACCCGCCAGACTAATATAGTGAAAACCTGTCTCTACTAAATACAGAAAATTAGCTGGGATGGCACATGCCTGTAATCCCGGCTACTTGGGAGGCTGAGGCAGAAGAATCGCTTGAACCTGGGAAGTGGAGGTTGCAGTGAGCCGAGATTGTGCCATTACACTCAAGCATGGGCAACAAGAGCTAAACTCCGTCTCAAGGGGAAAAAACAAATGAATGAATGAATGAATGAATGAGGCCAGATATGGTAGCTGACACCTGTAATCCCAGCACTTTGGGAGGCCGAGGCGGGTGGATCACTTGAAGGTCAGGAGTTCAAGACTAGCCTGATCAACATGGTGAAACCCCATCTCTACTAAAAATACAACAATTAGCCAGGCATGTTAGTGCGTGCCTGTAGTCCCAGCTACTTGGGAGGCTGAGGCACAAGAATCACTTGAACCTGAGAGGTAGAGGTTGCAGTGAGCCAAGATTGCACCACTGCACTCAAGCCAGAGCAAAAAGAGTGAGACTTCATCTAAAAAAAAAAAAGAATGAATGAATGAATGAGTTAGGACTTGAATTGGGTTTTAGAAGATGGGCATACTTAAATGAATTGGAGAGGGATTAGTACAAAAGTCACTGACATATGTGTACTAAAAAGCAGTTTTTCAGTAGGCATTCTTTAGCACTGGGGTCCCCAATCCTCCACCATGGACCAGTAGCTGTCCATGGCCTATTAGGAACTGGGCCTCATAGTAGGAGGTGAGCAGAGGGCAAGCTAGCATTACCCCTGAGCTCTGCCTCCTGTCAGATCAGCAGCAGCATTAGATTCTCATAGGAGCCCAAGCCTATTGTGAACTGCACGTGTAAGGGATCTAGACAGTGTGCTCCTTACGAGAAGCTAATGCCTGATGATCTGAGATGGTATGGTTTCATCCAGCCACCTGCCCCGGTCCGTGGAAAAACTGCCTTCCATGAAACCGGTCCCTTGTGTCAAAAAGGTTGGGGACCACTACTTTAGCATATGTTGATAAGTATCAATAAATAAGCATCCTTCTGGATCTAGTGCATTGTAGTAAGTTTCAAGAAGGCTTAGTGATATGATCTTTGCCCATCAAAAGCTGACAAGTGTTGGCAGCATTAGAAATGAGCACTGGCTGCTTCAGGATGACCTTGGACGCCGGGTGTGTTTTTTGTTTGTTTGTTTTGAGACAGTATCTCACTCTGTTGCTCAGGCTGGAGTACAGAGGTGCCAACCTAGTTCACTGCAACCTTGAACTCCTGGGCTCAAGTGATCTCCCCACCTCTGCCTCCCAAAGTGCTGGGACTACAGGCATGAGCCACCCTGCCCAGCTGTGACCTTTGGGTTTAAGCTCAATTTAGATATAATTCTCTGTGTTTTGTTTTGTTTTGTTTTAGCCTCTGGTTTCATCTGAGAAAAGTCTGTCTGTGTTTTAATTTTGAAGAGTTTAAATATCATTTTATTTGATGTTTATTCTACAATTCTTCTCTTAATGGATAGCATTATATAATAGGTAATATCATTATAGCTAATGTCAAGTGACTATTACTGCAAACCAGGCACTCTTCCAAAGTACTCTGAACATAGTTAACTCATTTAATCCTCACACAGCCCTGTGAATTAGGACCCACTAACCTCTCCCACCTTACAAATGAGGAAACTGAGGAACTGAGGGGTTAAATCACTTAAATGTAACACACCCATCAAGTGGGAGAGCTAAGATTTGAGCCCAGGCAGAACAGTTTTAGAAGCCCTGCTTTAACCATTACATGGACAGCCTCTCTTATAACTGTGTTAAGAATAAGGTATTATACACAAGGGATCATTTAGCATCTGGTGATGCCAGAAAAGGAATCCTGTTATTACAGCCTTCTCCTGGTTTTCTTCATTCCTCTCTGAATGCTCCTTCTTATCTCATTCAGAGGCTCCTCTTCCTCTACCTCATCACTAAAAGCTGGAGCTCCTGAAGGCTCAGTCTTGGGCCCTTTCTTCTCTCACTTTATTCTTAGTGGAGATAAGTTCTGACATCAGAAATTTCTTCCTGTACATTTTCACAGCACATTCCATGTGCCCATGTGTTCTCTCTTCCATCCCAGTCACCATAAGCTCTTTTTTTGTGTGTGAGTGGAACCGCGCAACTCCTGCCAGTTTCCCCTGCTATTTGTATTTGTCTGTGTCTATACATTTCCATTCTTGTCTGTACCGCCATTACCTCTCACTGTGCAGCCTGCAGCCTCCCGCCATCCCTCTGGGCCCCTCCAGTCCGCTCTC